TAATTAGAAAAAAAATATTTCCTAACCTATTAAATTTTATAGTATGTGAGAATCAATTGTTGCATTATTTCAAGATATACAATATATATTTTCACTTCGCTAATGAAATCGCTTCAAAATGTAATTTAAATATTAAAAGTAATCATTCATATTTTTTGAAAAAAGTTATAAATATTCAGGGTTTTTGTGTCGTCGCTTACCTAGATAAGATAATTATGTGAGAAAATATTGGTATTGCGTTACTCAATTTCCATTTTACATTTACTTCGATGTGACCATTTGCAAGCAATAAAACCAAATGACAATAGCTGTACCCAGAGCGATTCAAGGGAACAACGTCCTGCAACCTTTTGCCGCTCGTTAGGCAAAGTGCAAGCGACGTTGCAATAACTTTTAAGCTGATGCGCATTTGTTGGCTGCGTTTTCTCTAGTGAATTAGATTTAAGTACAGCCATCGAGTATGAGAGACACCTCATGCGATGCACTCTGACGTGCGCAAATATGACTTGGCTGATGCTGCGAATTTGTCAGACGCCAACAACAGCTGTGTGTCAGCCCCAAAACCCCACTTGGCTCCTCCGGCAGGTGGTTGTAAAATGACGTGTGTTGATTTTATGGCGTTTCCGGGCTGATGTGAGTGTTCCTGTCTCTGGGCGTTATGTATACGCTTCGCACTTTGCAGTTAGTGCATCATTTGTATGCATTAAGTATAAATTGCAACCAGCACCGACAGCATGTACTCTACCTTATATTTTGAACTGATGTGTTTCTAAATTGAATGGTACTGAAGTTGTTGTTTTTGCTGTTGTGGTTTTGTAGCAGTCTGGGCATAAATGTGACATCAAAGCGCGTTAGACACTTGTGCGGTTTTTCTATTGTCAGCTGCCAATCCACCGCCCTACCAGCCCACCGCAACTATGCCAGGCCAAAGCTAACGCCATCGTCTATATATCAATGTGTAAGTGTGTGTGTGTGTGTGTGTGTTGTTGCGTGCTTGTGTGTGTGCGTTTAGTGTGTGTATGCATATCATCATGATTATAATCAGCGAGCGCAGGGGCACTTAGCGCTTGTAATGCTGTTGCTTCTGGCACTTTTGTCGGCTTGCTGCACATCAAAGGCGCCGCGTAATGAGCAGCACACGCCAACGTACTCCTCAGGCAGTGGGGTCACCCACTCTCCATGCCGCTCGTCCAACATCGTCGACTAGCGCAAATTGACTTTGTCTGTGTATTTTTGACACCTGCGGCAATTCGTTTTCATGCCCATGCCAGCCACGCGCTCCACTCATCCGCCTATCTCGAGCGCGTGCCCATGGCACACCCTGCTGCTGCTTTTTTGCATCAAAGATACTTTAAAGCGAGCCCAAAACTAGTTCATGGATAGCAGCAGTGGGTGTTAGAGGGCTGTGCACCAGGCATGCGAATGCTGGCGGGGCTATGGCCGGGCAACCTACATATTTTCAGTCATGGTTTTTGGGGCGTGGCTCATGTTTTGCTTTTTGGCATGGTGCTTCGTAGCCGCAAGTCTCAAAATTCTTCAGCTACGACGTTGCACAGCCAGCAAATTTTTGGGCCAACAAAATACACAGAAAATCCAGATCCAGCTTCATCGCTACCCCAAAAAAGTATGCCAAGGAATTTCGCTTCGTACATTAAGCATTTTTGCAGTATCTCCTGCCACACGCTGAGCATCAAACTGTGTGAGAATCACAATTCATCATTATTGGAATATAGAAAAGTTTAAACCTTCCTGTTAGACATTCAAGAAAGCGCAAGCAATATTATTTTGTCAAGTTAAATTATATCTTTAAGCAATTTCCAAATTCGTTAAAGACTGCAACATGAAAATGTGTAAAATAATAAAAGGACTAATAAAGACATCTATTGCCCTATAAAGTATATATTCGTGATCAGCATCAAAAGCCAATGTCTGTCTCTTTGCCTGGACACGTCGATATATAAGACTAAAAGCGCCAGATTCATTTTCCCCCATTTTCAAAAAAATGTACAAAATCTCGTTTTCGGATAAATAGCTTAAGGCTTTAATGCATACATACATTGGGTTATCATATTATTGCCCTGCAGTTTTCATTAAGATCGGACAATAAACGCTTAATAAAGGAGAAGAAATTGTCGAGCACTTCCGAACCACTCAATCACTTTTACTTGAGTGCAAATATTAATACTGGTCATTTTTATGGAAGGAATGGGTATAGGGTAAATTGAGACTTATCGAGCACTCGCAACTAGAGCATACTTGCTCATTTGATACCTCATGATAAGCACAATTAAGCCTATAATTTCCACTTGCACTCGCAATTTGTGTGTAACTTATGCAAAATAAAAACATAAACATGGTACATTATTCTGTAGGTTGTAATTTTTGATGTTGTCTTTCATAAAAATTCATGCTTTCGTAATTTTGTTATTTAATTTACACCTAGGGCTATTTAATTCATACAAAGTTGAAGTTTATTGAGTGGGCCTGCAACTTTGATGTCCATGTGACCTGCGACTGAGACACCTGCGTATCTCAGTCTCACTTTTCTGCGTCTGCTCTTTTGGCGTCTTTTATGTAAATGTCGTTGCATAAACATAATTAACTTGGAACGGCTTGCGGCCGTATGAAACTTTTTTATGGCCGCATAAAAGTGCTTACGGGCTTTGCCGGTGGTCGATTGAGGTTCGAGTCGATGAATCTGCTCGAAAGTTTTCCCATAAAGCCGACGGCTCAGCAAACACAAATTTGAGCCACGCGCCAAAAACATCACTAATGTTGCATAGTTATGGACGCATCCACCTGTCACAACTGGCAACTGGCTTTTGCGTTGTTGGCATCGTTTGTTCGCCAGGCGCAACAGTTTATATATGATAAGTCAGTAGCATAATACAAGTGTCAAGTGCTTTCAATTTCACCAAGCTGCAAACGCAACTGCACAAGTGTAACATTTTCAATTGTGCAACGGGCCAGAAGTGGGTTACAACCCAACATCAAATCGCAACCCTGTACCCATTCTATGGCCCCACATCCATATCAATTGTGCTTTGGCTCCCCCGCGGCGTAACGTCTGAGAGTTGAGATATATGTGTATGTGCTGTCTTGGTTGCAGCTACAATGTCAGCGTTTAAAGCTCAATTGGCTTAAGTGACAGCGCATTCGAGCTCTCAGCTCTCTTAGCTGTGGGTAACTACTCACCACAACAGCTATTACTTCGTATCGTTTGACCCGTTGCATGCGGCATGTGGCAAGCAAATGAAACACAAAAATGTGCAATAAAGTGAAACAGCCCGAGCTAACGAATCGTTTTGCGGTCTCCGAATGACGAGCCAACTAATGAAGCGTGTACCCCTCTGGAACACATAATCTCTATTTCGAATTGATCCTAGTTGAGCTTTGTTTTAATCGGCTTAGTTCAATTAGCAAATGATTGACAGCGACTATTTCTTTTAAGTGCTGGCTAGTTATTTTCCGAACCCATTGCATTTGTTTTAACAAGGAACAATGGTTTTCTGCTAATATCTGCAGTCTCGGGCAAAATAAAGCATTTCTGAGCCCATTAGCATACTTATGATCAAAATGACAAGCTGAGTCGATCCAGCCATGTCCGTCTATGTGCCCGACTGTGTGAAAATGCAACTAGAGACAAGAAAGTATAACACATATTATTTTTCGATATATTTTCCATTTTCAATATATCGATTAATGTCCATTTTGAAACCTGGCTTTTTAAATATAACTCGAAAATTTAAAGACCTAAATAAAGACCACAAGACTTTGAAGGGTGCTTCAGATTGTCATAGTCCAATCCCATCGGTAATTTAGTTATTGAAACAATAATTTGTGTTTAATAATATATTATCTTACAGAAAACAAAGTTCGGTGAGAAATAGTGTATTATTCCTTATCGCATGTTTTACAGGTTGGTCAATTAGACGGAAACTTTTTTCGCCTGGTTCAGAACGCATCGAGTTGTTTTCAAACTAAATTTTTGTCCAAAATGAATGACTACTTCTCTCCTTCGCAACCCCTATGCATAGTTCTTCGTGCAATTTTGTGAAGGCTACCCTCCCGGCCCTACCAATACTCCTACTCTAAAGAGTCCACTGAGTGCAGCATTCAATAAACGTTTATATTTAATTCAAAGTCCTGCTAAAAGAACTGCTGAAGGTACATGTAGCTTGCTTACCTGTCATTTACAGTGCAGCGTCGCCGAGCTGAGGGCAAAGCTTTGCCCATGATGAAGCATACTACACATTTTACATGGTAAATGAGACTTAAAATATATAACCCGACGTGTTTGCATGTGTGTGCAGCTCCTAGTGAAAGATTGACGCATTTGAAATTAAATATTGCGCATACGCGATGTTGTGCGCACTGCTCCCCGCCCGTTTAATGGAATGCAGCTCACGCATAATTGCACATCATTTGCTTTAACCACTCACATGACCTGCAGTGGGCGTGGCCGCTAAGCGAATTGGCCCAAACAGCGCATCGTTAGCTCTTACCAAACTTTCAAGAGCAATCGTGCAAACCACGCTATAGCCTTTCCAATATTTTTGATGTATTTGCTCATTTGTGACCCCTTTTGAGCCCATACGCACACACACACACACATTGGGGTGTAAGTTTGACGTTTGCTTATATTTATGCAAAAATTATTTCAAATGTTATGCTTACTTTTTGACGTTAGCTTTTAAAAAGCGCGCAATTCCATAACCTCAGCCAGGCCACAGGCTCGCGCGCCATTCCCACTCGCCTCGCAGCCTCTTCGAACTGAGAATCTAATAAAACTTTTGCCAGTTACCTGCTAGCAGCCACAGCAGAAGCAACACCAAGGTTGCTTATTTGCTTATCATATGCAAATTTGCATGTTTCAGGCTGAAGTTTTCCTTTGGCAGGCAGCCGGATAGAGAGCAAAAAGTAAAAAACCCCAAAGAATGTTTAACAAGCTACCTAAGGGGGCCGCCGAGCACAAAGTTGAAATAACAAAATTTCTGCTTTTATTTTTTATGTGTAAGAAGAAAGGCAGAGGAGGGCCTCTGACCCTAAAGTCTACATATACATGTTAATATTCATAAGGATATATGTATGTATGTTTGCATGTGGGCGTCTATCAAGGTTTGATTAGACAACGCACTCTCAATCTCTACAGTGTACAGTGCATTGCCTCAGGCTGCGTACTCGAAATAAAATCGTTAAAAATGTATCAAGTATTTGCCTACAAATATATTACTTACTATATAAGAACCATCACAACTGCCAGTCGTCAGCAACGATAATGACATTCTATTTAATCACATTCATTTGAATTTGCACATGATTCGTGTTTCTCAATATTATTCATAAGACATTTGCATAATTTGGATGCCAGCAAATGAGAGACCAATTGCACGAGGCGTGAGCTTGAAAAGGGTACATTTTGAATGTTGACGCCCAGCTGACAGAAAACAATAAAATAACACAAAAGAGCAAATTTATAATTCTACGTAATGATGAGCAAAAATAAAATAAAATACAAAAAAAAACAATTTATTCTTTTTTACCTTATTTCCTTCTATATAAACACACATACACATACACACAAACACACGCACGCCGCTTGTTGAGCAGTTTACGCTGCGGCTGGCCCTTTTTTTCTTTTAGCCCCACGCTAAAATGCGTTTCTGATTTACATCGGTGTATATTGTGCGGTGTACATGCAATTTTGTGGGTGAATATCTGTTCTCCAAACATGTGTAATTATCAAACATAAAAAGTATATTTTTGAAAATTTCGATGGAAACTGGAGAAAGACATTAAAAATGAGAAATATGCTGGATCCAAAAGTCAACATATCAAATTTAGTGTCTCTAGTTCCTATAAGCTCCAAGATATGTTTTGCAAGAATTCGATATCAATTTTTATCGATTTCATGGAATCACCCCAATCAATCGATGATTTGTAACAAACTCGATTTGTTCATATATACGGTCAGAGGGATATGGTTAGCTCGACTTGGCTTTATAGGCCGAATGCCTTCTTTATCCACTTAATAAATATTTAAATATCGAATAACTGTAACTTATTTTGGGCGAGAACTACGACTGATTATCAGTCCATAGCACACATGTCGAAAAGCTGGCTTAAATTTTCAAAGAATTTCGAAAGGAAACCGAAAACCGAAAAAATGGAAAGCAAACCTAATTTCAACCATTGAGCCAGTTCATATGAACACTCCAAATTGGAGCGGACAGACAGACTGACACATGTGCAAGGAATTAAATTCACGAGTCTTAACGATAGAAATTCACTTTTTTTTAGCATGTGCCACCGACTGAAATTCAATTACAGCTGCAACTTGCGGCAAGAAGAACAATTACAACGAACAATGCCAAAAATGGTGCCCATTTTAATATATCAGTCGAAAAAGTATGCAACAGGGGGAAAAGGGACCCGTGCATGCAAAACAAATATCAAGGAAATGAAAAACGAGCTCAACTGGAAAATTGCATGGCTCAACCAAAAATACATACACGGCAACACATTTACTAGAGAGCATCCACACCCACATATACACAAGCACACACACACACACAGATACTCACAGAGAGCTCGCCGCCGACGCCATTTCCGGCATTATTATGCTGCGATGTTGTTGCTGCCGCTGCTGTTACTGCTGTTGTTGCTGTTCTGTTTGTCAAGAAGCCTACTTAAAAATGCACTGCATTCTTAAATTGCTAACAATCAGAAGCAGATGCCGCAACAGTAACTGCATCTGCACAAGGGGCTCAGTTCGAAATTAACATCAAACAGAGATATGTTCGGTTTACCAAATACTAAAACAACAAACAAATTGTCGGCCAGTCAAAAACGGCGTGAATTTCAATTTTTTTTTTTTTTTGTTACATTGTCAACTTTTTTGGCACTAAACTGCTAGATAAGTCAGATGAGATCGACCCAGAGACGCCCTATAATCTATTTTAACTGGAATTTATTATATGCAGATTTTATTCGGATTTGCCTCTTTTTTTTCTGTACTTATTTGTATATATGAATAATATATTTAAATATACTGTTAAAGCAATATAATAATTATTCATGCATTTATTCACGACAAGTTAATTAAAAGATGTTAATTTTCTGGGAGCTCTTAACTTTCGTGTGTGATTATAAATCTTGGCAAAAGTAATCCAACTGTAAAAAAATTGTATACTATAATAGCACCCTTTTGTGTAGTATACCCTATTTTTCATTTTATATTGCTACAGGATACAAATATAAAACAAAAACGACATAAGTATTTCACGTAGCGATTGACGAGTGTTTTTAATACCACTTTTTGGCCGGAGTTGTTGAGTGCATTTAATATATTATATATACCAACGACAATAAACAAATGTGTGACATGTTAGTTTGTACATAAAAAATTCACAAGCTGATAATTCAGCTTACATCATAATAATTATATTTACTTCATACCCCCCTTGCACACAGCTGAGTAGATTTTCGCAATCAACAAATCACCTTTCAAATAGCATTTTGCATAGATCTTTGGAAATTAGTTTGAAGCGACATTGTGTTGGGTTTTATGCCGTTTGCCAGCCGCATGTTGTTTCTAAATTCAAGCTCCCCCACCTATCTACATTTAAGGGATAGCGCAAAAATTAATAAACAGTCAGCAAATGATGTTTCGCTTACGCAGTATTGACAAATATCAAATAAAAACGGAGCACTAAATTTGTGTGCGCCAAAACAAGTAAATATAAATATAAATATAAATATAAATGGATATATGGGAATGCAAATGAAATAATCTGCCAACTAAAAGGCGCATAAATAGCTGTCGAATGACATTCATTTTCTGTTGTTCTTCTTTATGGCAACCATTTTGTTATCGCTCAGCACATGTGTGTGTGTGTGTGTGCCGCCATTTTGTGTGCGTTTCAGCGAATATTCGTATCTGTGTGCGCAATGTTGACGCCATCATTCGTACGTTTTTTGTTGTCATTGCGGTCACTGACACATGTACGTGTCACTTCAGACATAAGCGCTGAATTATGCAGACAAGATGGTCGGCAAATTGTGATTTGATTTATCGCTGGGTGTGGATTTTTAGAAGCGACTAACGTTGACGGCAGCGACAATGTCAAATCAATGACATCAAATTACAAATCATTAACATAAAATTAGCATAATTAATTTCGCACCTGAGAACAGCACGCGTGTTGATTAACTTGATTAGTAAGATATTTCTCGATGTTCTGCTTGTAAAGGGCAGCAGCCACATTTGCAATTTCCCTGCAGGAAGCCAAAACGTGCACACACACCCACATATAATTTCATAGATTAGAACTTCTGGCGCAACCAGATCAAAATTTCAACGTACTTGACCAAAATTCAAGCATCGAAATTATTGCTGTTCTAGTTTACTCGTTTATTTATGGTATACATTATATTTGAGATTTTGCAGTAGATGTTGAGCAAAACTTTTGCCTAGCCAGAAGGAAACAAATACTTGTGAAGAGCACAAATTGAAAGTTTTGCGATCTATGCACTTCACAATTTATTGTTAGCTGCACTTTACAGACGTCAAGTACTGTGAGCAATAGAAGAAAACAGATAAATGTTCAATGAAAAATTACTTTTGGTATTGAATTCAGTATTAACGAAAAATTTTTGTATTTCTTAGAAACAAATTATTGAAAGAAAAAAACAATAGTTGTTAACTTTAGTAAAAATATTGATATAATTCGATATGTTTATATTCGAATTTGGAAAATTAAGCTTGTGATTATTTATCATAGAACATTGCGCCCCACGAAAATTCAAAACATTACATATTCCGGATCCCGACAGTGTATTATATAAGCGGAACTTACAGTAAAAACCTATTAACAGTTTTCTTAACGTTAAATTTAGCAACTTTTACATATTATTTAGCTGATTCTGCCGGTTCCGACATATGTACTGCCTGCAATGTTTCAGGACGATGGCTTCAAAATTGAGAGACTAGTTCGCACAGAAGCAGACAGACGGCCTTAACTATATCAACTCGGCTCTAGGTATACACTCTAGGTATATACTTTACGGAGTCGGACATGTCTGCTTCTATGCGTTATAGATATCTTGACAAAATAATAATATAATAATATCCTATACAAGGGTATACAAATATGTAATGGTTTTTCTAAGTCTGATACTAACAACAAATATCACCACACTGTTTCAATTGCTTTCGCTATATATACTTTTAAAGGGGTGATTTCTCAGATGACAATCAGTAAAGCAAACAACCAATTACATATAAATGCAAGCATATGCATATGGATTATCTATTATTTATTCTCGCATTCTGACATTTAACCATGACTTTAAAAGCAGACACCAAAGCTAGCATACAGATTCAATTCTGGTTAGTTTCAGGACACAGCAATATCTGCTGTCTGCCACGCAATTTTGTAATGGATTGTACACAGACACCAGCACACGCACATTGTGCATATAGAGCACACACATGCATACCGTTGCACTAACCAATTACCAGAATCAATAACAACGAAACTAGCCAAACATGCTGCGTACTACATTGCTATCATATTCCAGAAATAGCACTTCCATAAAAAAATTGTCACATTACGAGAATTCTGGAGTAAACAAAAAAACTTGCACACTTTTGATAATTGGATGCATAGTACAGCCAGAACATGAGCACAAATAGACTGTCGTTCAGTAGAAGAAAATAATACCAAGGAACATCATATAATTGTAACGCATACAATAAATGAAGAGAATTGCTTGTTTGTGCTTAATGTACCCAAACATTGCAGCACTTGGGCTTGTCAGTTGGTATAAAGTAAAGTTTTCCAGAAAATGCACAGACCAGAGACGTGGCGAAGTATAAATGAAACTTATTTAAAGACGATGGGCCAAATAGAAAGAAAAGACACATAATACAGTGTAAAATTATTTACTTTGTATTAACCAGTTTTTAAAAATATTTATTGTAACTTAACGTGGATAAAACATTTTTGGCTACCAAATAGAAATCTATGAAGTTCAATTAGGTTAAAAAAAAAAAAAACAAATTAAAAAAGGATCTGTGTTAGATGAGCTGTCTACGGGAGACAATCATGTAAGGCAACTCAACAAATTTTACGTACGTTAACTTTCCTTGTGTAAAAGATATTTTAATATAATTATGGTGTAAGCTGTAGGTGTTTTAAAATCTTGGTACGAACATTTATAGTTAATAGATTTTATTAAAGAAATGATTTTATTTTAAAGCAAAAAATAGAACGTTTTGCCCACAGTGTTGGAAAATATATTTTCAGACTCTAGATTATGTCCCCTAACAGCAGCTGAACAATAACAAAAATGTTAAGCACAAAATACATGCGGCCGGGTAGCAAAGTGCAGAGATACAAGCATGCAAGAGGCTACCAAATATGCAACTAACACATGCACACTCTTTTATATATTTTTATATGTTTGTGTGAGTGTGTGTACGGGTGTGTGTTGGTGTGGGTATATGTAGCCTGCCTATCTTGGGCCATCTTGAGTGTTTGAGCCAAAGATTAAATGGTGTTTATGGCTGCACCGGAGCAGCTCTGTGCACATTTGGCGCTGTCTCTCTAATACTTTTGACACTTGTGCAAAATTTATGAGTGCATACATTTTCACACACACACATTCACCTACACTTGAACTTATATGCTTAGAAATTGTACAGTGCAAAGAAAACTCAAAATAAATAAATAAACAAAAAGTATTTGTAATGCAAATGCAGGACAAGATATAACTTACAAGCACTGCAACCATAACTTATTTCTGATTCTGTTTCAAATAT